AAAAATGTGTGTGTGTGTGTGTGTGTGTGTGTGTGTGTGTGTGTGTGTGTGTGTGTGTGTGTGTCGGGAGTGGGTTGGGGTGGGGGGTGGGGGGGGCTCAGTAACAGTCTTGTGATGATCACTGAGTCTTGAAGCAACTGCAGTTTGCTCACACCACTTCATCTTTTTGGAGATGCCGTCTCTGGTGCCTGCCACAGAGCAATCTGCTGCTTTAGTCATCAATCTTTAGCAATCTCTCGATGAGCTGTCAATGTAAAAAGCAAAGGCTGAAATGAATGGACTATCAAATAAATATTGGTCCTCGTATTATTTTGTTGCCATATTTTTAACAATAACATTTCTCTGCAACGACAACAAAACAATATCACGTGAATAAAAGCAGCATGATGCAGCCTCTTTCAGCTCTCCAGAAGAATGAGGAGGATTTAAAAGTCAGTCACTTCATTTCATTTATCCATGTGTTGGTTGACCCAAAAGAGACACAATGTGCCTATCTGTAAAATGAATGCCTGCCAACATCCTATTGATAGTACAGGAAGTACAGTACAGCACTCTCGTTGTGTAAGCATTCAAGGATCGAAAAACTCTGGGCCAAATACACAAAGAATGAACTGCTGACACCAAGAGCACCTTCGAAAGCACTTCATTTGCACCTGTAGTTTACATCTGCCCCCTCCCAGATTTTGGACGACACATCTTGTACAAGTAGGAGCGTTCTCTCACATTGCTCAGACGTTGCAGGTTGTGTCCCCTCAAAAAAGAGGCTTCCGCAGAGCAGCGCCAATTTTACACCAGCTTTCCATAGACATTATTTGCTTGGCTCAAAGTACGTGTGACTATTAGCGCTGGTGGTATTGAATTAGATGTTGTTTATCGATGAGGTTCATTTGCATAGCGGTGGGCAATTTCTCCGCCAAACACTACCCTATTTAATTACACGCAAATGCAGAACAGAGATGCATTCTGCTTGGCCTCTCAGTTACTGATGCTCGGTTTGCTCCATTTTTTCCAGTTAGCTCCACGCAACAAGCCACTCAGCCCCTAAGTGAATTTGGCCCTCTGTGTCTCAATGGCTTGGACATACAATATATCATGTCAGCAGTCTCACCAGCTGCTCCACCTGTGGAAGGTTGTCACTGTAACCCAGAAAGGAAATCTCTCTTGATTATTTTCGGGGTTAGCATCACTTCAGACCTGTTTTCAGACAAATATACAGTTATGGCGATGCACAGCCATTTTTACATTGTGTTAAAAAAAATAAATCAAGAAGGATGGCGGTCAAATAAGGCGTAAATCATTCTAGAGTATCAATCACCTTTTGTCTGTAAATCCAGAGAGATAAGCAGGAGGCTGGGTGAAAGCAGCAGGTGATGTGACAGGCAGGATGTCTTTGTTATAGTCAGAAGAACTGGAGGATGTACACAAAAATACACGCTGATTGATGCAGCAAAGCTGGACGGAACGTGACAGAACAGAGGACAGATATCCACTCGGTCTCACTTTGATGAAAGGGCTTCCAACAGCTGCTTTTGAACAGCAAAGATAAAACTACAATCGCCTGAAAGCACTTTGAGGGATGGCTGAACTGAATGAAAGCATTTTACTTTCCGCCTCTTCCCAGGCACTTCCACGAAGCAGCAGAGTTCATTTCAGTTCAGTTGAGTATTTTTTGCATTTCTCTTGAGGAAAAACACTGAAGGGTACCCAAAAACAACTGGTGTGGACATAGCTGTACATTCTGGTGTTCAGCACGACTTTGCTTGCACAGAGAAAATTTTTATGAAAATATTCCAACTAAAATGAAAATATTTCCAAAATCATGACCATGCACGGCCTTAATGAGAATAAGCGGTACAGAAAATGGATGGGGATCAACTTTGCAGGATAAAACCTACATAGTAAATGATGAGTAAAGTTGTTTCACTCTGTTGTATGAAATCATGACACACTTCCGGTCTGGGGCGCACATATTTTTTATCCATTGACTCTCGTTAAAAGATCGACACTGCAGTAGCTCCTCTGCAATGCAACTGATAAGGCCACAGTGGGGCACCACATTGCAGTGTTCTAAGGAGACCTATGTCACATCCTTGCTTGATATCAGTGCACAGAGAATTTTTGGTGATGGCATATTCCGTCTTCACAGTGGCGATTCTGTGCTGTTCAGCTACACCTGCTCGGGTTGCGAACCCACGCCTCCACCAAATCCCCAGCTTGGAACTCTTGTGCATTCACCGCTGAGGTAAAGTCCTGGGCCGGTAACTCAGCCGGCAATAACCTTCATTGAAGGAGTGAGGCTTTAAGATCACTCATGTTCAGCCTCTGTCAAACTGGCATTTGGTACAGTCTTCCCCCGAAAACCTTACTCCCAATCCAGGTTATGGCACTACACTAATGGCGGCAATTCTGTGCTGTCAGAGCCACACCTACTCAGGTTTCGAATTTGCGTCACCACCACGTCACCAGCTTGGAAGTCAAGTGCGCTGATCGTTGAGTTAAAATCCCGGGCCTCTACCTCAGCACCCTCATTTGAAAGCTCCGAGGAGTAAGGTCTCACTAACATCCATTTGGGAGGTGCAAGCTGGCATCCGTTACACGTCAACATCCAATCGAGTCCACTTGTGGAATTGTCATTCATTTAGTTCAAGTTTTACATCTCATTGTGACACTGAAATTATGAAGGTAATTTGCAAATTTGTTTGCTATCTTACACTGATGCTGACTGGGTGTGGTCAAGGCGACTCAATCATATTCAAGAGATCCAGTGGAACCTTCATTTAAAGAATGTGGAACTGATGGACTACGGAACTGATGGAGAAAAAAATAGCTCCTAGTCCATTCAAAATGGACCTTTGGACAGTGGTTGTCATAGGCAGTTAGTTCCAGAATTGGCCACTGTCGTTGACTGGTGCTGTGGCACAATCAATAGTTATTCCACTGTTAGATCACAGATGCACAGCACCAGCTGGCTAAAAGATACGTCTCTGTGGCGGCCATATTGGCAGTGGGGATGATCCCAAAGGGGTGATAGTACCAACAAAGGCAAGCAACGGGAAGCATGGACATTAGTTTGGAATTGCCATAGAGGTGCTCAACTCAAAAGGAGTGTGCACAGCTGTTGTTCAACATAGCGAGTGTACACATGGCTCTCGAACATGCAATTTTTGGTACAGTTTACAGTTTCTTTTTGTTTGTTTTTATTTTTTTGCTCAGCCCATATCTATGGCATCCAATCGTAATGGAAGTTAAAAAAAAGAAGTGCACGAACATTGTGGCAAAACGACACACAAACGCACGCACGCACGCACGCACGCACGCACGCACGCACGCACGCACACACACCCACACACACACACACACACACACACACACACACAAAATTATTTTCTACTCCACTGGACATGTTTAGGCGAGTAAAACAAAATAGTACAAAATAGTGATATCCCGACCTGAATTTGGGTCCGATTACATGGCTTTTCAAATGATCAGAGATCGGGGTAAAAGGAAGTTTCCTTGATTTTCTGATTAATTTTTTTTTTTTAGGTCACAGAGTAAGCAAATAATCAAGTGCTTTAAATATCTTTTATGGAGCAGTAATGGCTTCATTTTGTATGACACAACGTTACTTTTTGTTTATGGGGGTGGGGGGGGTAGCAGTAGACCCACACACGTACCTGTGTGTTCACATTGGCCTCCCCCTGTACTGCTGCAATTCGTAAATTGTGGCAGCCATGACACACAAATGATGTGAAAACATTCGGGGTAAGCATGTACGCACGTACCCCTCAAAAAAGTGTTAATTTGAAGACATTTTGGTAGTAAAATGATGTTACTGATGCAGTCACAGGTATTATTGCGTCTCGAGGCGGGGAGGCTCGGTTACCTACCCATGCAGGATGTTGCTGGTGAGAGCAGCCTGTCTGGACACACATGTTGAAGTTACCAAATCAAAATTGTCCCATGTCTTCAACCCTGTGATCGCTCCCTATCACAAAGAAAGGAAACTTTGCCATGATATATTCGAGGTGGTTTCACTTAGGGCTTAAAGACAAAAAAAAAAAAATCCTTGAAGCAATATACTTACCTTTGGATCTAGGGTCTGCATTTGTAAGGTTTGAGACTCCATCCCAGTTGTGGGGCCCCCAGGAGACGAATAGCTACACAGAGAGGGCCAAGATTATACTGCTTCATAACATAAGCGATAAGATGATCCATGGAAGACTGATGCTGCAATGGCACTGAGAAGGAAACATTTACCGAGGCAATGGGCAGAGGTGAAAGTCCACATCACTTTCGAGGTATTTAGGGGGTGGCTTGTAGGCCTGGAGGCCAGGAGCTGGGTTCTACAGCACACAGCACATGGGAAAGGTGTAGACCAATACTTTTGGGATTTATCAGCACTGCTCATAACCATCCATCAATGAGCAATGAAAAGGGAGGCTCGGTTACCTACCCATGCAGGATGTTGCTGGTGAGAGCAGCCTGTCTGGACACACATGTTGAAGTTACCAAATCAAAATTGTCCCATGTCTTCAACCCTGTGATCGCTCCCTATCACAAAGAAAGGAAACTTTGCCATGATATATTCGAGGTGGTTTCACTTAGGGCTTAAAGACAAAAAAAAAAAAAATCCTTGAAGCAATATACTTACCTTTGGATCTAGGGTCTGCATTTGTAAGGTTTGAGACTCCATCCCAGTTGTGGGGCCCCCAGGAGACGAATAGCTACACAGAGAGGGCCAAGATTATACTGCTTCATAACATAAGCGATAAGATGATCCATGGAAGACTGATGCTGCAATGGCACTGAGAAGGAAACATTTACCGAGGCAATGGGCAGAGGTGAAAGTCCACATCACTTTCGAGGTATTTAGGGGGTGGCTTGTAGGCCTGGAGGCCAGGAGCTGGGTTCTACAGCACACAGCACATGGGAAAGGTGTAGACCAATACTTTTGGGATTTATCAGCACTGCTCATAACCATCCATCAATGAGCAATGAAAAAAAAAAAAACCCTTACAAAGATTCTGAGTGGGTGTGCGTGAATGGGTCGAAGGAGAGCACTTGGGAATGTGAAGTTCAGATCACTGGCATCTTGCTCGTCCTCATCCCCTGGTGTGGGTGACTGGGAACCAGCGTCCTGGGCAAGAAAAACATGAAGAAACGATACGTAGTAAATACGATAATCCATGATGACACTGGCTGATCTTTACGTGTTGTGGCTTTACTGGATCTCCAGAGCGAAGTGGTCGGGCTAAGGTAGTGGGAATGAAGGCGTTAAAGGCTTCCCAGGCTGACACAGGCTGGTAGCCCATCAGCTTATAGTACTGAGGAACCTCAATAACAGAAAATAATCATAGAAATCAGAGTAAGAAACACATCAATATATTTCAAGAGGTGAGTGAGAAAACGCAATGTGTTGCCATGGAGACATGAGCGACGCTTAGATGAGCAGTAACTGCACCTACTTGAAGCTTGAAGGTAGGAACATGTGTTGTCACCCTCACATTAACGGCATCCACAGGCAAAGCTAAAAAATCAAGAGCCTGCAAAGAGAAAGAAGACACCACTTGCACAAATTAAGTCAATCACTTTCCTCTCTCTGCAGGACGTTGTCATTGAGTTATCGCGGTTTTGTGAATGTAGAGAACAAAAGACTGAGCCTGTGTGTCAGCCTTGCCCCATCTCGTCACCTCAGGTCCCACATTCGCCCATAGGACCCCCCCCCTTTTCGCTTGGCCTTGCTTCCCTGCTTCATCAAGAAATCCACCTTCTCGCCAACTACCTTGAACCACTTCCAGAGCCCGCTCGTGCGCTAATTTTTATTTATTTTTTGTCATTAAACCCTACCTCATACCCTCTCTCAGATGCAACAGTGTAACTTCCACAGATTCTTCACGACATACACTATCTTGTTAAAGGGATCGTCCAGCCAGGATGGTCCATTTTTCACTAGCAAGCTCAATTGATGTATTTTTTTTTTCTAGAAGGGAGTGCAGGAGGTGATATTAGCTTGCATTTTAAATGTTGTCAATTTGTTTTTTGGGAAATCAGTAAATAATTTACGACGCCCATTTCCAGTCGACAATATAGCTAGCCCCCCAAGACCCCCTCGGCCTATGTTTGGATGGGAGTCACAGGAGAAACCAGACAATATTTGTCCATTGAAAATCATTGTACATACTTTGCTCATAATTACCCAAAACGGTGATCAATTGGCACCAAAATTTATGTGGACAGATCTACTTAATATCCACTTCAACCTCTGAAAATATCCCAAGGATTAGACTCTCCACCGTTGACGTACAAGAGAATGAAGGAATGAGCAGCTCAGATGATTGCCAGATTTGCTTTCTTTGATTAAGTCCCCAAAATATCAACACAATGCATTCCGAAAGGCTTTTAATAAAACATAGGGGATTATATATTCAATTTCAATCTAGCAGGGTTAGCTTGACTAATTTATTTTCCAAGTCCACCACCAGAGGCTACGCCCTCGACCGCCTCTCCAAAAATGAGGCACTCTTCAGAGCCACACTCAGCTGGAGCGGAGGCAAGTTTCTTGGCTGCCTGATCGGTAATGAACACGGAGCGATTCCACTGACTATACGGCGGGCATCCATGAGACGAAGCCCCAAGTTGTTTAGAAGATGATTTCATTCTGCTAACCACATCTGTTTAGCAGCCACACGCTCGTTGCTTCCTCAAGGTTGTTTGTTTTTAAGAGATCGTGCCTCAAGTTTTGAAGTTTTGGAATGGCAAAGTGGCGTGATTAGTCACAAGCAAGTTGGTGGATGGGCATAGCCCTGTATGGCAAGTGCACCGATAGGTCTAGCCTAGATAGAGAGCTGATAGGTCGCTTTTATTGGTACTTTACTGATGCGCCCCTCCACCTCCCACCCTCATTTTCATCTTATGTGAATGCAGCATGAAAAACAAGGCACTAGCACTGTGTCCTCAAATGTTTCAAGCCTCGTGAATCATCTAATGAACTCAAGTCGGAAAATGGGGCAGCCAAATACTGGTCGGGCCTTGAACAAATTTGGTCATGTTTATATACACCACCATTTCAAGGCAAGATGAGTCAGGGAATAATGACATACATCATGTTGTATCTCACGCTCAGGTTCAGAGAAGCTTGTGAACGCACAAAGAGAGAAAGTGGCATTGCTCAGTCATTCAAGTTCTGAAATGTCAGATCGGAAGGCTTTGAGTGACTAAGATGACTGGGCCTCTCCATGACATCTCAGGGGAAGATTTTGATGAACATGAGTCTGTGGGGCCACCATACAACCATTACCATGTAGTTGCGTTACACTGAGGCACTGTGTTACTCTGCTGTCATGCTTCGACAGCAGATTGACCTTCTATGTAAATAACTGAATAATTTTGAAAATATTGACCAGCTGTCTTTAATTTGAAGGTCAAAAATAGGTCAAATTAATAAATCTTCCGTCAGTTATGAATTTCTTGACCCAAATTTTGAGAAACCATGTCCAGTATAATGTCGCACTTTGGTCCCAACCATTAAAAAGATGCTAAGATGACAATAGCTAGTAGGTAGGACTGTCACGAAAATGTCCCCACATTTTTGCGATGGGCACCCGTCAATGTTTTGCCTTCAAATTTTATAGGTACCAAATTCTGTGAAAGACAAACCTTATCTCTTCACCGTCACATAACTGTTATAAATAACACATTTACTTGGACAAAGTAAAACCTCTTCATTGAAGAGTGCACCTTTCAAGAGTCTTCAAAGGTGCACTTTTAGTTGGGAAGACATATTTCAAGAGTCAGCGAGTTGCAGAAACAAACCATTTCAACATTCAGCGACCACGTCATTAGGTAAAATGACACCTGCACAATATACTGAGGCCGCTATGCCCCCCAAAAATAATAATAGTAATAATTTTTAAAAATCTACATTTGCACACATAACTAGAATCGAACAAAGGAGCGCGCAAACATTTCTGCAAATGTGGAACAACACTAAATCGGACCTGCATCAAATTTGACGCCTTCATTGATACCCACGATGCTGCACGTGTGTTTTGTCAGACTTATTGTGTTCCTCCTAAAGAAATAAGTCATGTCAATGCAAACAATGCTCTACTTTGCTATGTTGTGGAGATGCACCAAAATGCAATCCTTTGGCCCATGCGCTACCCTCTCCACAACATTCGGGGGACATTTTTATAGTCACTATAGACAGGCATCGTGTAAACTGCTTCTCTTTTATGATTTTATGAGAAGGCAGATTTGATGTCACACCACATTCTGATTTGAAAAAAGTCAGTTGATTATTCAAGTACTGTTTTGCTAATGACGTAGCCGTTGATATGAATTTGCGCTTTTGGTCCCAGAAAGTACTCACCAGCGGATCAGCTTCATCTGTGAAAAGTGGGAAAGAAGATGGAAAGATTCTCTCTGGGGTGATCTTCATAACACATGCCTCCTCCTCTTCAACTGAGAAACATCAAATGACAGAAATTAACTTGAACCGACGCCGAAGGTCACCTTCGCATCGTGAACCAATGCACACAGCAATGCACAAATAGCTCTTTTGGGGGCTTGGACATTCGCTTCAAGGTAGCGCTCAGGGATGATAACGACCTTTATTGGCCGAGAGCAAGCCTGCCGCAGCGTCTGGTAGATTCCTCCACAAGGCCAAGGTCCGCTTCATGCGACACTGCATCACGACCTGTGAGGGCAGCACAGTGCAGGTTTAATCAGACATAGATTGATGCGTTGGAGGGTTCCTCCGCACACAGCTCGTGTTTTAAACCCCTTTTTTTTATTGTTTCAAAAAATACGTCCGTGTGGGATTATCGCTCTCTTCAGCATGAAGGACTGTGCAAAAAGCACAGATTTTAATGAAACTATTTGAAGGGTTTGTGTGTGTGTGTGTGTGTGTGTGTGTGTGTGTGTGTGTGTGTGTGTGTGTGTATATATACCCTGCGTGCTGCCTGCTGGAAGAGTTTTAAGGCCCTCTGTTTTAGCACCCACTGAAAGCTGGGGTGAAACTGGAAAGATGGGGCTCCCTTGGGGACCTAGAGGGGAATCCAAAAATGCATGTTACACTCACACGTGTACATGGTGTCAGGACAATGGGGTTCGTTCACGAAGAAATGCCGAGAAGTGTTCTTACTCAGCGAGTAAGTTGAGCGCGTATGCAAAATTGCCCTCGGAATCATGATGCGTGCATACCGGCCCATTTTCTTCCGAGCACCGTGCATGTTGATGAATCAGAATGAATTTCAAACGAGAGCTGAAATTTTCCCCAATTTATCTATAAACGGGCATCTGTTTAACGGCATCTCAGCCAATACTGAAGGTTTATAAGACACAAGAGATGGCCCAAAAACATTCATAACTTGATCCCATTTTCAAAATGTTCATGTCATCGCAAATCTTGCTCAGCACAGAAACTGACAATGATGATGTCAGTCATTTTTAATTCATTCCAAAGTTAAATGACAGAGGTGTGCGCACAAAACATGCAACGGAAAAATGACTTAAGAGCCGAGAATGAACAAACAGTGCACAAATTGTTAGTAATTACGGTAGATAGTAATGGATAAAAATAGGACAGCAAAAAGAGATTTGTAGTCAATACAATTCGTGAAATTAGCGTTGGAACAAGTCAGAGAATATCTATATATGCTAGTCAGAGTGATGCCACAAGCAAGCCTCAGTGTGTGTGCGTGCGTGCGTGCGTGCGTGCGTGCGTGCGCGTGTGTGTGTGTGTGTGTGTGTGTGTGTGTGTGTGTGTGTGTGCCTTTGATCTTGTCGACAGTCGTTTGTAACTGTAAATGTCGTGAAATGTGTCTTGTATTGTAGCATGCTTGTGTACTTGATCAATATGACAATGTGGTAGCCTTGAATAAACAGAGAAATGTGAGTGGAAAAATGGCTCTTCTGGGTGCGCACTCAAAGCGTACTTGTGCAATCTACCCATTGCGTAATAACTGCAGACACACCAACAGCGGCGGATGTATTCATAGAGGACAAACTGCATGCACATGCGCGCACGAGAACAGCAGGAGCTTCAAGTGTTGGGAAGCATCCTTCACGTTCAGGACATTTGTCGACTCAGCAAACGAACGATTTAAGTTATTATTGCCAGTTGACTTTATAGATGACTTGTTTCTATACATCTGGGGAAAATGTTGTGAGGTTGTTTTTTTTCAAACCTGATCCATCGTTATTTGTGTGTACGGCTTGAAGCCATTATTTAGCTATGTGCATTATCAGCTTGACAGTATAATTTTAAACAGACACATTTTGACTTAGGACGTGACCTCGCGTTGAAACTTGTGGTGTGAACTGCCTTAGTGGCAAGACTAATATGGTCAACTTTGCAGATGAATATCAGATAACGCTGTGCATGCATCCCCTTCGCTGACTTGCGGTTTCACACCTAAGTCCTGTTCGAACAAACACTGGAACAGTTTCTAATTTCTCGGTAAACGAAAGTACTGCAACAGCTACTCGTAAACGAATGAGCTGGGACAGCTTTTAGGGAAAACGAATATGCCGCGACAGCAATTCAGGAAACCGAAAGTGAAGTATCCATTGAAAGCTAAGCCCTGTCGAGAGTATATAAGATTTGCCTTGGAATATTGACCCTGCGCATTTGTGCCTTGACCACAGCCATTGTATGTATCACACTTGTGCCCTGAACGTTCTGATAAAATCTTGAAGAAACTTCTCCATTTTCAGCCTTTGATTTCACACCTCAACTCAGCCCGAATTCAAATGAACACGCGGACGCAGAGGATGGCGAAAGGATCACGCCGACTACAACATGCTCTCTCTCTCCGTCCCCGCCACCTCAGGGGACAGGTTGGTCTGAGGAGGTTCTCAATTTGTTTGCAGATTCCGCACGAATTCAAGCACGAAGATACCAATGAATTGGTGTGTACACGCAATAAGTGAATGAGGCCCACTGAGCACATGTCAAACTATTTCCTCAGACCTCGCCAAAGTAAATACTAAATGTGCGTGTAGATTCCCCGAGCAGCAGTGATGTTTTCATGTGAGAGGGGCCAGTTTGGAAAGCAAAAACAAAGCCACCTTCGGGGTAAAACGCCGTGTTTACCTGCCCTGCGTCACAAATGAGTCGTATTGAGTAAAGTTTTGGAGGTCCGCTTGTAAAGTCTTCCTCTCGCCTTACATCGCCCTTCCTGACCTGCAGTCATGACATGAGCACAAGGCAAGATTGCTCCAATCAAAACTGTTCAGGAACGGTGCAAAGATGTGTGGTAGAAGTACAATCGGGTTTACCTTGTACTGTTGCAAAGCAACCAGCCTGTCCTCCAATACCTGGCTTCTGGTTGATTCTGACACTGGATCCTTACCCAGATGGACTTGTCTAGTGGCAATATTATATTCATGACATGAACAAAAGTATCGGGACAGTAGGCTAGTGCCCAAAAAGGATGTGGAAATGGAACAAAATCCATCCATCCATCCATTTTCTGAACCGCTTCATCCTCACAAGGGTCGGGGGTGTGCTGGAGCCTATCCAGTTGTCTTCGTCCAGTAGGCAGGGGACACCCCGAACCGCTTGCCAGCCAATCGCAGGGCACACACAGACGAACAACCATCCGTGCTCACACTCACACCGAGGGACAATTTAGAGTGTTCAATCAGCCTGCCATGCATGTTTTGGAATGTGGGAGGAAACCGGAGCACCCGGAGAAAACCCACGCAGGCACAGGGAGACCATGCAAACTCCACACAGGAAGGTCGGAGCTGGAATCGACCTGGTACCTCTACACTGTGAGGTCGCTGCGCTAACGACTCAACCACCGGGCCGCCAATGGAACAAAATATGGTGTTGAAACTTTCTGGCACTAACAGTTTGACTCAGTTGAAAAGATTTTTGACAAGATTTTGGATTACGTGGCAATTTTTGTCCATGCGTCAAGGTATGAATGTCAGATGTAACATCTATAATGTTTGATGTTGTAATACGCTAATCGGTGCATCTCAAAACTTCACTGTCGTAAATGAAATGGGTAAGGCACACATAATTTGAAATAAAACAAAAGTAAATGCAAAGATCAAACCGATAAGCTCACTCAAGGAAAAGAGGATTATGATTAAACCTACAATTTCAGACGGTTGATTTGCTCTTCTTTAACATTTTGTTGAACCCTTTTTAGGAAAAGAGCCTCCTTCTTCTGCCTGGTCTGAAGACCTAACAAGGATTTAAAAAAAAAATAAGGGGGCTCAGACAATCCAACATCCACACAGCAGCAGGGGTAGTTAAGTGACACGCACATACCCTCACTCGGGTGTTCAGTGCCAAGTTTGCTGCTGTCCTTCTGCAACATCTTTGCCACCCCTGCGTGAGTGGAGGCATCCACAAGTGGCTTTGGTCCTGGCTTGCTCCCACTTGGACCCCCTAAGACACCCTGCAGGATATGTGAAGCAGTCGCAGCATGAAGTGAAGAGAAATGTGTTGGGTGAAGCAGAGGGAAAATTACATTGCTCCTTGGTCATAATAGTGTCCCGTAAAATGCATAATTCAGCAGCTCAGCTCTAACTTCATTGAATCATGATGCAGAGAAAATGACCCAATAGAAAAAAAGTGAAGAGACTTCTGAAGCATTACCTTGGGTTTGACGACATCCTTGGCAAACTTTTGTTTGACTGGACTTTGGACTTGGATGGCTGGTAAAGATCCTTTACTTTTGGCCTGTGTGCCCTGAAGAGCAAGTTCCCTAATCCAAGCAGGTGAAATAAACTTTTAGACAAATATACAGAAGCAATGCTGTCAAGCAAAAGCTAAACATCTGCTTTTTTTTTGTATGATGCAATAAAAATGTGCATTTAGTTCAACCATTTGGTTCAAGTGCTGAATATCTTGTCATAATTGCATCGATCATGTCCACGAATGATTAACTTTTAGGCTGACATAACATCGAGGGTAGTGTCATGGATGCAGCGGCTGCAGATGATGGATGGCATCCTCTTTCTCAAGGGAACACAATAAAGCAATGGAAGAGAATAGCCAAAGTCACACGAGTGTGTTTATTTGGTGCTCGAGGGAACTGCTGTAACTTATTCTGCAAATACCTGACAGCGAGAAGAGGGGCGGAGCTTCCGGTAACAGTACAGAGGTAGGATTTGGTGTTGAATTGTGAGACAAGCAGCCGAACGGTAACCTGACATGTCTCATAGCGGCAGGGTCTGAAGGTAATGGTGATTTTTGATTGACCATTGGCTGGGATCACACCTGAAAAACAGAACCATGGTCAAAATCCATGCTGATGATGATGCTGACCATGATGATGATCTCCACAAAATACAATTATTCACCTACTTTGTATTGACAGGGAACAGCTAGCGGCCATTGCATTTTAAAAGCAACCGAAATAACCACGTTACAACACATCTGGTAGAGTTCCAAACTCAAGTGCTGATGCTTCCCAGAGCATGGACAAGATTAACGTGTGGAAAGTGCGGCTTCCTCAGCCATGATTTATTAAATACACAACGGACAAGCAAGTATTTGGGAGAAAACACAGCAGAGCTGCACTCCAGAAAGGTTGTGTTAACGGTGCTGAGCTGAGGAAACCAGGCAGACAGCTTACACAAATGTTGTCAAGTTATAGCTACCTGTGAGTGGGTGAATGGAAAAGGCCTCATGTGGCTCAATGAGGTGCACTTCAAACTCCAAATCGGCGGGAGATCTGCAGCTCAGTGGAATGATGTGGCTCACGCTGTAGGACAGGTCACACATTAAGACATTAGCTTGTTCTTGCTTATCTGCAAGAAATGCCTTGACAAAGATTCAAACTCACACACATAAACACATACCTCTGTCCAAGCGGCGCAGCTGGTAAGTCAACGCGGGTCGGGATATGCACATGAGCGGTAGCGGGGTAAGCGTGAACTGGAATTAAAAGGTTCTCATCGTCCTTAACATGGGTGCAGAGCAAGAGCAGACATGGCACAGGCCATGAGAACACGCAGGCAAGGTCACGAGAAGGTTGCTTGCACGCTTACCTCACAGTGAACCCGAATACAGTCAGAGACACGAGTCCACTCGTGGGGACAGAATTTGACCTTCACTGTGTAGGCGAGGCCAGGAATGAGACGACACTTGAGGGAAGTCAGATAAGTCAAAACGGACAAAGTTGTTGCTTAACCTTACTGCGGTTAAACATACCTTTTTGGCGTAGTTTGTTCGGAAATGCTTGGTTTGGGTGGGGATGATGTGAATATTTAGCACTCGAGATGAGATGTTGATTAGTTTCTGAGTAGAAGGGAAAAGGGTTTCATCATGTGCACTCGAGAGCACCATTTCGACACTCTCGATGCTTACATCGACATTCATCAAGCATATATGATGGAAAATCATGTCTTCATTCATTCATCAACTCAAATGAGAGGAACGTATAATGCGAGCTAATTGTATATTTAATGTTTACTTGTGATTAAGAAAGTGGGATGAATTAAAGCGGAACATTAAGAACATGCAGATTAGTTAGATTTTTCTCACCACGCTCTTCACATAGTCCTTCTCTAGCTTGAAGCCACTGAAATGAAGTTCAGAAGGATCCACTTGGATCAAGCCATTGCTCTTCTCTTTGACATAGATTTCTGTGTGGGTAAAAAAAAAAGTTTGGATTTTGAATTACTAACCAAATGGATTCCCTTCATTTAGTTAACACGTGTATGCATGGCAGACTAATGCATGGTAGAATAAACGTTATTAAGAAGTAGTGAACTAAATGCAGCCATCATGCCGCTCAATATGTACTGGACTCCAGGAGATGGTTCGGCACGCTGCTCCTTCCGTCCTCCACCAACTGGGTCAGAGGAAGCGGCGTCAGGGGAGCAGAGACAGCCATCCTCCAGGGAGTCACGGGTCAGTCGCAGCTGTGCAAGACCAACGACAAGCAGCTGGAGAACTGTACATGAGACAAGCAGTGTACTTATTTTATGAGATGAATCAAGCAGGTAATTCAAATGTTCTGTTTCGGGAAACTCCCATCGCTGCAATCGTGACCATAATTGATAAAATGCTAGATTTAAAGGAACACATAATTACTGATAGTGTCGTGGTTCACTCGCCTAACGTCCTGGGCTCAGTTCCCACTCAGTGACTCTTTTATTTGTGCACTGTGACTGACTGGCAACCAGTCCAGTGTTGTCTGCATTGGTTAGACGCCAAGTCCCCGAGAACCTATGTAGTGGAAAGTGAAAAGAAAGTGGATAGATGGATGTCAACATGTATTATTGTCTTATTAGTAACACTGACGGCGTCAACAAGAAGGCTAAAGGGCTAAAAACAGTCATTTCGTTATACCTTTTGACTGGCGCCATTTTTAACACAGTTTTACCATCGTCTCGTGGGAAAACAAAACTAAGGAAAACAATGTGCAGCCCGTAAGGAAACCGTCATCATTTGCCCCCTACGTAAAGCCCGACGTTGGTTCTTCATGACGCATTACAATCTAGTAACTAAATATTTTGCCATGCTTCGCTCACATTGTTTTGTAGATGTTAAGACCATCTAGGACGGTGCCATCTTGACGCGACCATTTGTTGACTTCAACAGGACAATATAATCCCAATATAAACTCCTTTTTAAAAATGTTTTTGATGTATGACAAGCGACAAACGCTTTCGTTACCAAGGTGACAGTTTAGCTCGAGGGGGTGGGTTCAAAATCCATGTGAACCAATGGCAACTCAGGTATACTCTCGAGTTCACCGACCACTGTAAAGCCGTGATGATGTTCAAAATAGAACCGGGGGAACTTGAACTTTGATTTCAAAATAAAGTAATAGGCTCCTTGCTAGAACATTTCGCTGTTGAATAAAATTTACATCATACAATTAATTTCTTTATGATATAACAAGCATATATATCTATAAATTCTGTAAATTCTTAGAAACTACCTCAGGGTAATTGATTCACGCCATTGCGCACGAGCGGTATTATTCTGAAAGTTCAGACAAGTTTCATTTTTTTTCCCAGCTTATTACATTGAATTGTAGTTGAAAGGGTACGAGCAATTCTCACAAGCCAGTCTCGTTTAACAAAATGCACGATGGAATGATTCTATATTAGGTACAATATTTGAATGTTATAGTTCTTTTAATTGGCAGAATGTATTTGGACAGCACAATGACGAAAGCTGGACTCGTTGGCGTGTTACTTATACCACAGGTGAATATGGCATGCCCAAATTTTAATTAAAGGAAGAAAGAAAGAAAAGCGCTTTTTTGTTGTTTTACAGGCAACATGGTCATTAAGTTGCCATCCGCATGTTCAATTTATGAAAGAAGAAGAAAGGTGCATGGAAGATCTGCAACGATTCCGTTCGGGTGAGTCGTTACTTTTAATTTGCAAATCAAATAATGTAAAACCGTCAGACAAACAAAAAAAAAAGAGGATCAAACACTCCGGCCACTCAAAAGATGTGCTCAAAGTAACCCTAAAGGAATGTGATGCAGTATTTTAATGACATCTAGTGGTCATCATTATAATTTTGTTTTTGTTTTTCATTCAAATCTATTTTTTCCACTAAAGAAAGCAATATGAGCGTAAACTGCCATGGGATGTGGGATGACCTGAATTGCTGGCCTCCTGCTTCGCTTGGAGAAACTGTCTCTCAACCGTGTCCACAGGTGTTCAATGCAGAAGGTAAAATACGTTATCCATATAACATTATTAACATATTATCAACATAGCTGGCATACGTTTAACCAAGACCAGCTATTACTTGTAGTTAATTATTTTCCAAGAATTTAAGCAAGGATAAATAAATGACGCAATCACAAGTGTCTGCAGAAATCTCCATTTATTTGGCCATTAAAATATTTGTTTTCAATTACTGTCCTTGTTATTTTGAAGGTAAAGTGTATCGCAACTGCACTTCCAGTGGTTGGACGGACCTGCTCATTCCACATGAAGATGCATGTGGTTATATTTTCAATGAGACGCTTCTCTTTCTCTCCGAGGTTTGCATCATCTCATAAACATCCGCAATGTGTCATTCATCAAAGCTATTGAATTTTGTACAATGATGTTCTCTTTTCCTTCACCAGTCACCCGATTCCCATTTGTATTTCTCCTATGTGAAGATGATGTATACGACCGGATATGCGCTCTCGCTCATATCTCTCATTCTTGCAATCACAATTCTCTGTCTCTTTAGGTGAGAACCATGAGCCCGCCTCTCAGAATATTGTAAATAGCACATTAACTGCGGGTGTCTTTGCTCAGGAAGTTGCACTGTACCAGGAACCACATTCACATCCAGCTGTTCATCTCCTTCATCCTGAAAGCAGTCTTCATCTTCCTCCGGGACTCGCTGCTATTTAAAAACGAAGAGCTGTACCACTGTGACTATTACCCGGTATCTTTTTTAATTTCTTGGTTTAAATTTAGAAATATAATACCGGAGAACATGCACTTTTCCAACATGAAACAAATGCCTTCAGAAAATATATGGTGGTCGATGAGATGACGGGAATGTTACTTGCTTTGATCCAAACTGATGCAGGTTTAAAGAGAGAGTCTTGTAGGGAGATTTGCTCTTACATGTTGAACTAACATGCATGTTTTTGTAATGAACCTGTAGTACCCGGAGAAAATACACGCAAGCACAAGGAGAAGATGTAAACTCTTCACAGGAAGGCTTTAGCACAGATTTGAACCCCGAACTTTAGAACTGTGACTCAAATGTCCCAGTCGGCACGTGACATCAATTTGACATCAATTAAATATTGAAGATTGGATTTTGATGTCATATTGACATCAGATTCCTACTAGGGTGGTATAACAGTGGTACCGTCACCCTGCAAAGACAATCCTCGTTCAGACATTCACTAAACGTCACAACTTCATAGCTTGAATGAATAAATGAAATCTTCAACATTCTGTTTAACTTGGAGCGACCTGTATGGGCACTCACATTAATTCAAATGGAAAGTTGGGATATACCATTGACAGTCACCGACCCCGAAACAAAGTTTCGGTTTTGCGCACATACACGCACAGAAGCACAACGTTACGTCAGTGCTAAACTGAAAGTTGGAGGCAATGCTGACCGATGCATTATTTAGTGTAGCCACTAGATGTCAGCAGAATCGTTGCATAGTACATGTGAACAAGGAGACACAAAGTCACTGGTAAGTGTATTAATGTGGACAGACGCTATCCAACATGTAAAAATAAACAAATACAAAATACGCCTTCTCCCTTGGGACTCTCAGATGGCGTGTAAAGTTGCTCTGATGTTGTCCAACTACTCCATCCTGGCCAACTACAACTGGTTACTGGTGGAGGGTCATTTCCTTTTCACTTTAGTGAGCTGCTTCCTCTTCTCTCCAAAGAAGCACCTCGCGTGGTACATCTTGCTCAGCTGGGGTAGGGAGAACCTGTTTAGGAAAATTCAAATGTTTAACTATTTTCTTCCTCGTTTTTCATTCTGTGTGTGTGTGTGTGTGTGTGTGTGTGTGTGTGTGTGTGTGTGTGTGTGTGTGTGTGTGTGTATGTGTGTGTATGTGCGCGTGCGTGCGAGCGTGCGTGCGCGCGTGTGAGTGTGTGTGTGTGTGTGTGTGCGCGCGCGCGTGCATATGTCATGCAGGCTTGCCAGTGATTGTCATTTTCTCCTGGGGATGTGCCAAGTATTCATATGAGAATGAGGGGTAACATTATATTTCATTCAGTACTACATCAAACTGATTCTGAGAAGATGAGCGTATCTTTTTCTCCCCAAAGCTGCTGGGAAACGAGAAGACATGAGTGGATTTGGTGGATACTTCGAGTACCAGTTTTGCTGACCATTTTTGTAAGCAATTCCCTTCTTTTTCAGATAGCAGCACGTTCGCCTTTGATCAAGCATCCATGATGAATGTCTTTTTACACTTCAGATGAATCTCCTCTTCTTCTTGGGTATTTTGAGGATCCTATTGAGCAAATTGAGAATGCCAGATGCACAGGGGAATGAATTCCGCCGCTACAAGTAGGTATTTTCCCCATTCTGTCCTGTTTAAATGCCCCATGCACTAACCAAAATCATTAGCTGGCCTGCATTTGCACAGTTTCATGTGGTACAATACAAGAGCTGCATCAACAAATGTGCTTTGACAGACAATAATGCTAAATTTTGACCAACACTCTCAGATCGGTTTCCCAAAGTAAAATCACATCATCGTGAAAGGTGTTTTGAAATTATTGGTTACCGGGTTAAGATGCTCAAAAGAGGCGTAATCAATACCTTTCTGACTGTCTCCAACCATTATTATCTTTGTACAGACATAATTTGACAGTTTGTACTGGCAGTGGTATGCAGTCAGTGCCTGCAAGGCCTTCTCTGCTGAACCAAACACTAAGAGAAGCACTGACCTACACTGCAAATCTGATAGTGTTGATTCAACACCTTGGAGGGATCATTTTACTTCCGGCTAAGTGTCTGTGTAGCTACACTACCTGGTGTTAAAGTAGCATTTACTGAAGTGTTAAATGTTCAACATCCAATAGTGTGTTACAGCAACAAAATGTAGTGTCGACAGTTCAGCAATAATGACACTCTTGAGTGTTTAGATTAGTGCTGTCAAGCGATTAAAAAAATATTAGATTAATTAATTGTGATCTGTAATTAAGTAATCTAATTAATCTATGTTTTAATCTCATCTAAAAAGTGCTGAAAAAAACCCTATTTTCATTTGTAATTCATTACATTATTGAGGCAGATCAAAAGACAAAAAAAGGGGGAATATCACTGTTTTGTTTTTGTAAATCTCCAAATAATTTCAAAATAAAAATAAAATAGAACATCGGGTCCATAAAAAGTGCCTAGTTTAACATATCCAAAAAACATTAAGAACACTTTTCTGAGCAATACAAGTACTCAGCACTGAACTTGCTTCGGATAATAAAAAATAAAGAAGAGACCCTTAAATCACAGTGCTGTAAGTT